ACCCCCACGGAACGGCTGTAGAAACGGCCTTTCCTTCCCCTTCTTGCCATAACACGGAGTTACAGCCCTGTTTAAAGAGCAGCTGAATGAAGACCCCTCTCCGGCCCGCGCAGGTACGAGGTGCCTAAGGCTGCCTGTCGTCCTAGCGCTGCGGCGGCGGTGGGAGATCCCACATCCTGCTGGGTTCTCACCTTGGCCGCGTGGAAGGGCCTGGGCGCTGCGGGGAGGAGCAGCCCCGCTGGCCATGGCCATGGGCTCGGGGCTCCCAGCGCTGCCCCGCGGCCCTCGCCAAGGGCTGCACTTGGAGCAGGTCCGGGGCATCCCGGCTCCTCAGAGCCACCAGCGCTTCCCCCCAGGAGGATGCCGCTCGTTCCCAGGACAGGAAATACCTTCGGGATCGCGGATCTCCGTGGATAAGTTACAGCGCGGGGAAACCCGAGCTGCCTGGGGGGCCGCGACGGTGACGCTGCGGCCGCTGCTTCACAAACACCCTGCGGCCGGGGAGGAGCACGGGGCTGCCCTGCAGCAACCCGCTCCACGGCTGTGCTTTAAAGCAATGCAGTTTTCCAAAGCACGAAAAAGTGTCACTTTTGAGCTGCTGCTTTGCCTAGAGCATGCAAAACCAAAGTACTGAGGCACCTGCAGTTCTTCCATGTTTCTACTATGTTTCGACAAGTTAAACCATCTGCAAAAGCTTAACCAACTTTACTGAACCACAAAAAGGCTCCGTCCATAATCAAAGTGTTATGAAAGATGGGTAATGGCTTCTATAAATACTTTTAGCATTAGAAAATATTTTTTTCACGTTTCCATCTGCTAGGACAATTACCAGATGTGCTGTTGTCCATTTGCACATGCTGCTTAATGTGCTCTTGCTTACTGGGACAAGGCTTTAGGGCCTGGGACATGGGCACATGGTGCAAAACGGGAAGAATCTGTCCCCCAAATCCCCACGTGCTTCTCTGCATGCACAAATACTGCTGAAGAGCAAAACATGGGGTGCCACAATTTCTGTGAGAACCACCAACTCCCAGCAGGCTGGTTGGCTGCACAGAGGAAGCAAAGAATTTACTGGAATAAATACAGAGATCAGTCAACGCAATGAGTTGCAGGGTGAATTCTTACAAGATGTTTCTTGGCTTGGGGTGGCACTGCTGTCCCTAATAGAATGTTTCAGCTAAAACCAACAGAGTCACAACAGAGGGTCAGTGGCTTCCTGAAGAACACGCTGAGTTTGACAGTCTTACAGCTAAGTTCTCTCCTGAGGGGCTGGTGTTCGCCACGGCCACACACGAGCACTTTGTAGGGTATTAGCCAGCGCTGCTGAGGACCATCTCAGCACAAAACCTCCCCAAACACTCACGGAAGCCCCCGTGTCCGCGGCCGAGCTGCTGCCGGCTCCGAGGCTGCTCCGGGTTCTCTGGGATTCACTAAGAAACGCAGCAGAAGCAGCAGCCTGGCACCAGAGACGGCAGGTTTGTCTGGGCAGGGGTGAGGATGCGCCTCACCGCCCCCGACACACGTGGTGGGTGCATTTAATGAGAACATTTCTTGAGCGTTTCATAACGTCTTGTGGAATAAGGCAGGAAACACACTCTATTCAGTATCCAAGAATAAACGCGAGCTGCTTATTTTACCTGAAGAAGGCTAAAAAAATAAAAACCCCTCATGCTTTTACCACATCACTGCTCGGTTATAAATAAAAAGCAGAGCTCTTCAAGCCAACCTTCAGAGCCAGGTCCTTCCTGATACCCTCAGAGCTTCCAGTGTGCTCAGGGATGATGCAAAACTCTCAACTTGAAGAAGGGAACCAGGTGAGGAAGTGCAAAAACCCAACTGTAACCAACAGACAGAGAGGGATCGTGGAAGCTGACAGGGGCTTAGGTAAGGTAGCGCCTTAGATCAAAGAGTGGACGGGAGAGAAGGGGAATTCCAGCTTTCAGATGAACTACAAGCAGGTAAAACTGCTACAGAAGAGGTAAAGCAACGCGGTGCTCGTGCACTGAGCAAACGCTGACATGATCCCTGGGAGAGGAGCGGCAAATATTATCAGACACACAATTTCACAATGATTAAGTGCCACTTTTGTACACCTTGAGCATTAACGCTGCAGGATGAGGAAACACTAGATTCAAAGCCTTGACCTCAATTACTGATGAAGCATAAGCCTCTGCTGCTGGCATAACGGCAAGTGGCACTGAAAAGTAAATGAGAGTTCTGCAAAAATCTCCTGAAAATTAACGTATACAGTAGGCTGATCACTAATGACTTAAAATATAGCTTAACACCGAAGAGGAAAACTAAGTAAAAATGTGCGGTTCTGGAGGTCGGTGAGGAGCAGTGGGACTCCCCATGGCGGTGCCATCGCTCAGGGCAGTTCAGCAACGCGCAGGAGCCCCTCTGCAGCCACACGTCTGCCCGTAGAGAGGGGCAGGATCTGGCAACATCGAGAAAGGGCTTCAAGAGGCACCGAGCGGAGAGGAGAGCTGCGCTCCCACCGCTGCTCCCTCGACAGCGCCGCGCGGGGCACGAGAGCAACGAAAACGCCGCTGTCAGGACAGCCAACCTTTAATTCACAGTTACATTAAAAGCACCGGCCTGTCTTCACTTAACCTGCAGGTCTTCCTGAGTCGCCTTACCCCTTTTCATCATTCTCCTTCGTTTTATAACCCTGCAAATGATTTTGCTGCGGGTGCAGGAGCGTCAACGCTGGCAGCCCCCAAAGCACCACCCGCTTCGGGCAAAGACGGACGGAAAGGGACCAGAATCCTCCAAGAGGGGCAGCGACACCGCGGCTGACGCAGAGGCTGACACATCTCCGCACCCGCGCGATGCTCCCCACACCAGAGCACCTTGTCACAAGTGTGACTGTGCCGGCCTGTCAGGGCGCTAATTCCCTCCTCTCCTCGGCAGACGCCTTCGCTCCGCACCCAATTAGTGTCCTGGCAGATCCCGAGATGCTCCAGATCCTTTAGCCTGTTGGCATCTCCCCTCCACCCCTTCCCCAGTGTGACAACCTAGGGAAATTTAATCAAAAAATTACCTGAAACCTGAACGCGCCCTGCAACGCTGCATCTTTCCTCACGTACAATAATTCACATTAATCACATTAAATTGATTGCTTCTAAGGAGCAAGGCAAGATTTTTCTTTTCCTTTCCGCCTTTGCTATTAGTCCTGTACTGCCTGGTACAGGAAATTATCCTCCTGATGGCAGTCTGTCTTTTTTTTTTT